GAACTCAGTTACATGACATCCAACTAAAAGCCTGTTCTGCTCCTGAACCACTCAAAGTCCGATGAACGATGTCAGGACTCGTCAGAGTCTTGGTGTGTGGTGCTGGGAGCGGTGGCTGCATGATGGGAAGCCTTCCCCTGGGGTTAATAGAATGTGACAGTAGCAACAGTATGGCACGAGGATGAGGCCGAGGCTGCTGGGAAATAAGATAGTGCTGCATGGCAGGAGGTCCATGGGCGCTGGAGCTGAGTGCACTAATGTTGGCTGAGAGTAGGATAGCAGGGAGACGGGTACTGTGACTATTACTGCCTCTCTGTTCACCCATCTCCTGCCTCGGACTCTTCTTTTCGCTGCTTCTCCACGCTAACTCTGACTTTTTTAACTCCCCGCAGCACTTAACACGTCTCTTAACGTCTCACCGTTCACATTTCTTATCATTTACTCTGTACACGTTCGTCTCTCACCTCGGCCCGGCGCTCGGCTCACAGTCTCACTCCACTCGGCTGCCAGGTGCCAACATCTCAGACAGGAGTGAGAGCTCGCACACACACACACCACACACACACACACACACACACACACACACACACACACACACACACACACACTTCTGACACCACCAGTATATGAATATACATGTTCAGATACAGTATTCAGACTCCTTCAGCTCTTGCACATTTCCACTGTTGTAGATTTCATTTTAAATTAACCCGTAAGGTCCAAAGTGAAAATATGTTTTAGAAATTTATTACAAATCAAAGACTGAAATCTCCCTCCTGGAACCAACTGCTATTCATGTCACACTGCTATTTATTCAGGTGCAATTCCATTTGTGCATATTTTTTTATATCATTTATTTTACTTCTTTTATTAGAAATGATCTGTGTCTTTTTTTTCCTGTGCTACCAACTGAGGGCAGCGCTCTAATCTCTGTAGAAGCAGAGCTTTCGATGAAATAAAGCCTTTTCTAATTCTAATTCTAACCAGACTCTTCCCAGAGCCGTCAACCGAACGGAGTGACCGGTCACTAACAGAGCTTCAGTCCTCTGCAGAGATGGAGGAACCTGCTGGAAGTGAAAACATCCGTGCAGCTCTCCATCGATCAGGCCTTTACAGTAGTGGTAGTGACTGGACAGAAGCCACGCTGAGTCATAGGTACATGACAGTCTTCTTGGACAGAACTCCAACTGTCCAACTGTCTTTGAGCGGTGCAGCCAAAGACGCTTCCCATCAGATCTGGAGGAGCTTCGGACGATCTATCATGAGAGTGGGATGACCTGCCAAATCCAGATGTAAAGCTCGGAGGGACTTAACCCAAGAAGACTGAAAGCTGCGAGCGCTGCCAAAGAGTCGGACGACTTTTGTCAATGAGAAATTTTCAGTTCAACACAATTTAATTCTGCAAAAAAGTGATGGAGTGTTGAACGCTCTCTGAAGCCATCTGGATGTGTCTGTCACAGCTGTGGCAAATTAGGCAAGGAAGGAGGAGGAGATTGTCACTTTGTGTGTTAGTGTGTGTGTGTGTGTGTGTGTGTGTGTAGGGTTAAACCATCAATGTACGCCAGCCGCAGAGCTGAACAGCTGCAGGCTGCTCTCTGCTGCAGATGAAGTCCAGATGTTACAGTCCAGAGACGTCACCACCCCAACCCCCCCACCCCCCCGTCTGACGAAAGAGCCGGTGACATGTTCCCTCAGATCTTACAGCCTCGATTATGTTTCCTCTTCCTAAACTGGTCACTCAGTCAGCCTGTACGAGCTGATGAGTCACCTCAAACAACATCCACCTGCTCAACATCAAAGGTGTTTCCCGCCGCGAGGATCCGTCTGATGTCCACCTGCAGCCGACTTTACCGCTTTAAACAAAAGCACATGCTTCCACTGTGTGTTTGTCTGAGAGGCAGAGTGAGTGTAAAGGCCTCAAACAAATCATGTTGCACAAAATCTATAATTAGGGACAAATAATAATACCTACAGTCACAGCAGCCTGGAGGCATATTGATTCATGTATTAACAAAAGAGCAATTTGACCGTCCATCAGCTGCTATGATTCTACATCACACATTCTCGTCGTATCAGAGCTGACGGATGAGATCGTGGAGACCAGGCTTGATCAGACTGAAGTCACAAACCTCACAGTTTCATTAGCGGCATGACGATAATCTAAATCCCAAACCAAGCCACAAAATTGCCTCCTGATAATGTAATGAGCCACTGATACGATAATAATGAAATCCACCGGGCAGCACTTGGCTCCGATTCAACGGCCTAAATGTGTTTTTTGCATTTCACGGGACCGCCGAGCTTCTGTGTTCATATGTGCCAGACAGATGTCAAACATGTGGGAGGACGGAATAAAATCTAGAAGCTCCTTGTTTGACTTTAATTCCCTGATAGTATAGAAAAAAAAAATAAGAAGAGTCACTTCAAAACATCTTCAGGTACGTGCTGCAGTATGAAGAGCCCTCTCTCACTATTACACCTCCAACCGCTGACGGATGCATACTACCTGCTGTTCCTGTAAGGAATTCACCCATGAAATCAGTTAGTGCAATGATAAGTTTTGCTGCTGGCAAACTATCATGGCAATATGAACACAGCCCTCTGCAAAGCTAAGTGGGGTGCATCTTTAACCAATCCAATTATGCATGCCGTTGAATTATTGATGGTGACCATGTAGCAGTAACTCGGCAGCAGAGATGAGTGCTAGAGGGTTAAACCAGCTGAAAGGTTTGTGTTACTGGAGTTTTTCTAACGTGCGTTGACCGATACTTTCATCACTTCGGTAAAAGTTTAGACGTTGTTAGTGATTAGGAAGAGGCGCAGAGAAATGAAATGCACGAAAAGCAATCAATCTAAAACAGAATGAATCTTGCGATACAGACTCGAGTATCCACACTTTCCAAAGGCTATACACATGCTTCACTTGGATTGGGGGGGGTCTCAGCCAGACACATTTATTCCTCCCAACTCTTCAAAAGTTGCAATTCGTCTGTTAATTCTTTAACTGGAACGAGCATCATCTTATAAAGTGTAATGGAACTCGCACATCCAGCGAACAACAGAGACACAGAACCAATTCCATTGAGTCATTTTTATTAACCCGACAATCTATTCCCTGCTTTTAGTTCTGTGTTTGGTCTCCACCAGCAGCAAGCAGCAGCAGCAGCAGCAGCAGCAGCAGAGCAGCAGGAGGATGAAGCTGCTGAATGCTCCAACCATGTTCCCAGCTGCTTCTAACTGGGTGTTTGGAGCGTGGGTTAATAAAAGCGTCTATAGCTTAATGATGAGGGAGAGCTGAGGGAATGAACACGGGTGAGGACATTTCCTGCAAAACTACATTTAGATTCTTATCCATCACACGACACATCAGGAAGCATCTGATTGGTCTATAATTAATTCTCGAGCAACGACCAAGCCCAACATGATCAGACATAAAACCACAGAAGAACCGTGGCAGTTCCCCAAGAGAAGTTTGGAACAATGTACTGCAAGAAAAACTGCCTTTTCTATGACGATAATTAATAATAAATGTTTACGGTGTTATTTTTGAAAGAATCCTCATTTTACCTCTTAGTGCCTAAACGTTTGCTCAGAACTGTAGTTATTAAATCTTTCTATACAAAATATTGATTAGTTGCATCTTTAATGTTGGATTAACGACGCAAGCTTTCAGACCTGCTGAGGTTTTCAGACGCTCTCTGGTCACTGAGTGTCACCTCGTTATTTAATGGACATTTGTCTCTTCACAACAGTGAGCGAACAAAACAGCTGCTGGTGTCTACCACACATCAAGAAACAGGCCATTAAACTGCTTCTTTTTATTTTTATGAGTAAAATAAAAGTGGAAAGAATCAGCTTCATGAACATGTTGCACCACAGTGATTATGTGCTGGATCTCATAAATAAAAGTCAAAAACAACAGACTTATCCATCTTAAATCTGTTAGTTTCACATTCATGTTGCGCAGGTTTGAACAGTATGAGACAACACAGTTGTCAGGTCAGGTGAGGTCACTCACTGTTTGCTTGGACTAGACTGATTTTTATCGTAAGTTGGTTAAAGGTGAGGTCTTACCTGAGAGAGCCCACTCCTCGTCGTCCTGACGCGCTGTGGTCCGACGCCAGGCTGTCTGATGACTCGTGACGCGTGATTGGGCCTGGGCTTCCTGGGGCATCGCTGAGAGAACACACACACACACACACACCACACACACACACACACACACACACACACACACAACACACACACACACACACACCACAACACACACACACAACACACACAAAGGTTATATGATGGTACATCTTAATGATGATATTGACATTTAGAGGCTGAGAGTCACACACACACACACACACACACACACACACACACACACACACACACACACACAGATTCCCTCTCTCACTTTACTGTACACTTGCTTTTTTCACACACACTGCCGCGCTCCCACACGCCCATGTGAGAAAAAGACAATCGTCTTTCTCTTTTTACTCGCCGGTTTCTGACTCCGTCCATCAGATGTCTAGAATCTGTTTGTGTTTGAGTATGAAACGCTTGGCCAGACAGATCAGTCCGCATGCATCGGTATTGGCTGTCAAACACCACGTCAGTGAAAAGCCTAATGACTCCAGCACACTCTCATAAACTGTTTGTCAGTTATCGTTTCCCTTCACAGGCCGATTTTATTTAAATATGCTGATGGGAAAATGTGATTCACTGCCCTGTTGTGACTGTTCAGTCAGATTTTACTTCCTGATATCCTCCGTGATCGCTCGGCTAATGTCATAGTTTATAACCACGGAGGCGTCGACACTTTTTGGCCATGATGATATTGGAAACCAGCGCAGAACATCGGTGACTCTCAGCCTCTAAATGTCAATATCATCATTAGATGTACCATCATATAACCCTTTGTGTGTGTGTGTGTGTGTGTGTGTGTGTGTGTGTGTGTGTGTGTGTGTGTGTGTGTGTGTGTGTGTGTGTGTGTTTTCTCTCAGCGATGCCCCCAGGAAGCCCAGGCCCAATCACGCGTCACGAGTCATCAGACAGCCTGGCGTCGGACCACAGCGGTCAGGACGACGAGGAGTGGCTCTCTCAGGTAAGACCTCCACCTTTAACCAACGTTACGATAAAATCAGTCTGTCCCAAGCAAACAGGTGAGTGACCTCACCTGACCTGACAACTGTGTTGTCTCATACTGTCAAAACCTGCGCAACATGAATGTGAAACTAACAGATTTAAGATGGATAAGTCTGTTGTTTTGACATGTTATTTATGAGAGTCCAGCACATAATCACTGTGGTGCAACATGTTCATGAAGCTGATTCTTTTCCACTTTATTTTACTCATAAAAATAAAAAGAAGCAGTTTAATGGCCTGTTTCTTGGATGTGTGGTAGACACCAGCAGCTGTTTGTTCGCTCACTGTTGTGAAGAGACAAATGTCCATTAAATAACGAGGTGAACACTCAGTGACCAGAGAGCGTCTGAAACCTCAGCAGGTCTGAAAGCTGCGTCGTTAATCCAACATTAAAGATGCACTAATCAATATTTGTATAGAAAGATTTAATAACTACAGTTCTGAGCAAACGTTTAGGCACTAAGAGTAAAATGAGGATTCTTTCAAAAATAACACCGTAAACATTTATTATTAATTATCGTCATAGAAACGGCAGTTTTTCTGCAGGTACATTGTTCCAAACTTCTCTTGGGGAACTGGCCACGGTTCTTCTGTGGTTCTTTATGTCTGACGTCATGTTTGGGCTTGTGGTCGTTGCTGCAGAATTAATTATAAGACCAATCAGATGCTTCCCTGATGGTGTCGTGTGATGGATAAGAATCTAAATGTAGTTTGCAGGGAAATGTCCTCACCCGTGTCTCCAGTTCCCCTCAGCTCTCCCCTCTCATTAAGCTTATAGACGGCTTTTATTAACCCACGCTCCCAAACACCCAGTTAGAGAGCAGCTGGGGAACATGGTGGAGCATTCAGCAGCTTCATCCTCCTGCTGCTGCTGCTGCTGCTGCTGCTGCTGCTGCTGCTGCTGCTGGTGGAGACCAAACACAGAACTAAAAGCAGCGTGAATATAGATTTGTCGGGTTAATAGAAACATGACTCCAAATGAATGTTTCTGTGTCTCTGTTGTCGCTGGATGTGCAGCCATTACAGCTTTATAAGATGATGCTCGTTCCAGTTAAAGAATTAACAGATCGAATTGCAACTTTTGAGAGTTTGGGAGGATAAGATTGTGTCGTGGCTGAGACCCCCCCCCCCCCCCCCCCCCCCCCCCCCCCCAATCCCAAGTGAAACGCATGTGTATCAGCCCTTTGGAAAGTGTGGATACTCAGTCTGTCATCGCAAGGATTCATTCTGCTTTTAGATGATTTGCTTTTCGTGCACTTTCATTTCTCTGCGGCCTCTTCCTAATCACTAACAACGTCCTAAACTTTTACCGAAGTGATGAAAGTATCCGGTCAACGCACGTTAGAAAAACTCCAGTACACACAAACCTTTCAGCTTGGTTAACCCTCTTAGCACTCATCTCTGCTGCCGGCAGGTAACCTGCTACATTTTCACCATCAATAATTCCACTGCATGCATAATTGATTGGTTAAAATGCACCCCACTTAGCTTTGCAGAGGCTGTGGTTCATATCTGCCATGATAGTTTGCCAGCAGCAAAACTATCCATTGCACTAACCTGGATTTCTTTGGTGACTTCCTGACAGAACAGCGGTAGTGATGCATCCGTCAGCGGTTGGAGGTGTAATAGTGGAGCTCTTCATACTGCAGCACGTACCTGAAGATGTTTTGGAAGTGACTCTTCTACTATCAGGGAATTAAAGTCAAACAGGAGCTTCTAGATTTTATTCCCGTCCCTCCCACATGTTTGAACATCTGTCTGGGACATATGAAGCACAGGAGCTCGGCGGGGTCGTGAAATGCTAAACACATATAGGCTCGGTTGAATCGGAGGCCAAGTGCTGCCCGGTGGATTTCATTATATCGTATCAGTGGCCTTCATTACATTATCAGGAGGCATTTGTGGCGTTGGGTTGGGATTTAGGATTGATCGTCCATCCGCTAATGAAATGTGAGGTTTGTGACCTTCAGTCTGAGTCCAGCCCGGGTCTCCACATCTCATCCGTCAGCTCTGATACGACGGAGAAGGTGTGATGTAGATCATAGCAGCTGATGGACGGTCAAATTGCGTCTTTGTTAATACGTGAATCAATATGCTCCAGGCTGCTGTGACTGTAGTTATTATTTGTCCCTAATTATAGATTTTGTGCAACATGATTTGTTTGAGGCCTTTACACTCACTCTGCCTCTCAGACAAACACACAGTGGAAGCATGTGCTTTTGTTTAAAGCGGTAAAGTCGGCTGCAGGTGGACATCAGACGGATCCTCGCGGCGGGAAACACCTTGATGTTGAGCAGGTGGATGTTGTTTGAGGTGACTCATCAGCTCGTACAGGCTGACTGAGTGACCAGTTTAGGAAGAGGAAACATAATCGAGGCTGTAAGATCTGAGGGAACATGTCACCGGCTCTTTCTGTCCAGACAGGGGGGGTGGGGGGGTGGTGGGGGTGGTGACGTCTCTGGACTGTAACATCTGGACCTTCATCCTGCAGCAGAGAGCAGCCTGGCAGCTGTTCAGCTCTGCGGCTGGGCGTGACATTGATGGTGTTAACCCTACACACACACACACACACACACACTAACACACAAAGTGACAATCCTCCTCCCTCCTTCTGTGGCCTAATTTGCACAGCTGTGACAGACACATCCAGTGGCTTCAGAGAGCGTTCACACTCCATCACTTTTTGCAGAATTAAATTGTGTTGAACTGAAATTTCTCATTGACAAAAGTCGTCCGACTCTTTGGCAGCGCTCGCAGCTTTCAGTCTTCTTGGGTTAAGTCCCTCCGAGCTTTGCACATCTGGATTTGGGCAGGTCATCCCACTCTTCATGATAGATCGTCCGAAGCTCCCTCAGATCTGATGGGAAGCGTCTTTGGCTGCACCGCTCAAAGACAGTTGGACAGTTGGAGTTCTGTCCAAAGACTGTCATGTACCTATGACTCAGCGTGGCTTCTGTCCAGTCACTACCACTACTGTAAAGGCCTGATCGATGGAGAGCTGCACGGATGGTTTCACTTCCAGCAGGTTCCTCCATCTCTGCAGAGGACTGAAGCTCTGTTAGTGACCGGTCACTCCGTTCGGTTGGACGGCTCTGGGAAGAGTCCTGGTTAGAATTAGAATTAGAAAAGGCTTTATTGTCATCGAAAGCTCTGCCTTCTACAGAGATTAGGAGCGCTGCCCCTCAGTTGGTGCACAGGAAAAAAAAGACACAGATCATTTCTAATAAAAGAAGTAAAATAAATGATATAAAAAAATATGCACAAATGGAATTGCACCTGAATAAATAGCAGTGTGACATGAATAGCAGTTGGTTCCAGGAGGGAGATTTCAGTCTTTGATTTGTAATAAATTTCTAAAAACATATTTTCACTTTGACCTTACGGGTTAATTTAAAATGAAATCTACAACAGTGAAATGTGCAAGAGCTGAAGGAGTCTGAATACTGTATCTGAACATGTATATTCATATACGTGTGTGTGTGTCAGAAGTGTGTGTGTGTGTGCGAGCTCTCACTCCTGTCTGAGATGTTGGCACCTGGCAGCCGGAGTGGAGTGAGACTGTGAGCCGAGCGCCGGGCCGAGGTGAGAGACGAACGTGTACAGAGTAAAGATAATGAAATGTGAACGGTGAGACGTTAAGAGACGTGTTAAGTGCTGCGGGGAGTTAAAAAAGTCAGAGTTAGCGTGGGAGAGCAGCGAAAAGAAGGAGTCCGAGGCAGGAGATGGGTGAACAGAGGAGGCAGTAATAGTCCGTACCCTCTGCTATCCTACTCTCAGCCAACATTAGTGCCACTCAGCTCCAGCGCCCATGGACCTCCTGCCATGCCAGCACTATCTTATTTTCCCAGCAGGCCTCGCCTCATCCTCGCTGCCATACTGTTGCTACTGTCACACTTCTATTAACCCCAGGGGAAGGCTTCCCATCATGCAGCCAGCGCTCCCAGCACACACACACAAGACTCTGACGAGTCCTGACATCGTCATCGGACTTTGAGTGGTTCAGGAGCAGAACAGGCTTTTAGTTGGATGTCATGTAACTGAGTTCATCTGAGCTCTGCGTGGGGGTGTCTGGGTATCGGCACAGAGCTGAATACCAAAGCGCCGTGTCCGGTTCAATGACGGATTCTCGGGTAGCTGCCATCACTTTGTCCTTGAACGTGCTGATCAGTTTGAATAAAGTTTTGAAATCCGTCTGTGAACTCGAGCGTTTTAAAGAGCAGTGAAAGTGTTTGTTTGTTGTTGTCGTTTGTTGCATGTGAAATATTTGTCTGTCTGATGGACATTTACATTCTGCAGAAAATGAATCCTAATAACTTCGGTGATGATGAACTTTTCCTCCAGTGTCACTTTGACACACTTCGTCCCATGTTTTGTTTTTGTCGTCAACAGCTATTGGACGGATTTGCCGTCAGATTTATTCGAGCTGTTGATGGTTCTCAGTCGATGAATGAACGACTTTGCGGATCCTTTGACTTTTCTCCATGGTCGCCATGACATCAACATTTGTAGTTTTCTCTGAAATGCATCAGCAGCTCTAAAATGTATGGTTCATACATTTACATTCATGTTCCCCTGAGCATGAATTATAATAACTGAAGTGATCATCAGGTGAAAATAAACAAATTTTCAAATCAAATACTTGCAAAACAAAAAGCCTCAACTGTCTTTTGTTTAGTTTTAGTTAGCAAGTGTTAGCATGCTAACATGCTAAACTAAGTCAATTTACAACGTAAACATTACCTGCTAAATTTTAGCATGGTAACATTGCCATTGCGAGCATGTTAGCATGCTAATATTAGCATTTAGCCCACTGCCCATTATTTATTATTATTGTTTGTCTTTCCTCACAAACCTGAACCTTTGTGTTCTCAGGTGGAGATCGTGACCCACACGGGGCCCCACCGGCGCCTGTGGATGGGCCCCCAGTTTCAGTTCAAGACCATTCACCCTTCAGGCCAGACCACAGTCATCTCCTCCTCATCCTCAGTGCTTCAGTCCCAGGGCCCCGCCGACGTCCCACAACCCCTCTTGGACTTCGACACAGATGACCTGGACCTGCACAGTCTGAGGTACTCCGAAACTACCAACGATAAAACAGTGAACCAGGAGTCAAAGTCGGGGCTCAGAGTTGTTATTAGACCGGATAGATCTCGGGGTGGTTGCTCTAATTCAGCAGAAATGATCCTAACGAGAGAATGTTTAAGAATAATATTCTGATAATCACAGATTTCACCACAATTATCCTCGAGTGTGTCCGAGCCTGACATCTGGGTCCTGGGACCAGATCCAGTCAAGCAGGTGTCTGAGGCCCTGAGCTGTTTCTTTGTATTATCATTGTGTTTGTAATAATCTACTTGTATATACTGTATGTGTGCAGGATCCAGCCGGTGCGTTCAGAGCCAGTCAGCATGCCCAGCTCATCGGGGCTGGTGGCCGACCGTCGAGGACAGTCCAACATCATGGACGCGGGATCAGGTAGGAAACCGCTCTCTCTTCTTCTGCTCCATAAAACAAGTCCGGTTCTTTTATTCCATCTTTCTCCTCCCTGTTTCATCCTGATGTATTTCATTCTCCCTCATATTCTTTACTGAAAACTCCTTATTCCGGTGTTTCCGCTGTATCAGTTAAGAGCGTCCGAATCGGTCGTCGTGCTGTCTTCGCGTAGGTTTACCTACAGTCGCACTCAGCACCGTGAGTTCTCACCAAACCTGGAAATTAATGCTCTAATACCAGGAAAATGACATTCTCATATTTGTTTCTACAAGCAGGCAGAAGTTTTTGCCACCGTAGCTGATAACTGAAGTCTCAGGGTTAAAAAACAGTCAACAATAATTATTACAGCTTTACCATCTCACCTGCTTCAGGTGCTGCAACCTCCTCGAGAGGAAGGGTGAAATATATTGTGGGGAAGGGATGCAAGTCCAGACCCGAACACGTCGTGCATTTTTAAGGGATTACTTGGATGTTCTGGAAGGTTTATGCAATGATTTTATTTTGGAATACACCGGTCATGGCAGGACATAAACGTTACCTTGCAAGAAGGTGTTACAGCTGATGAGCTACAACATTTTATCAAACTTTAAAATGTCCATCAAATATTGTGTGAAACGACACGCTGGCAATTATTGCCCCTGTTGAGAAGCTAATGAGAGACTCGGGGTATCTCCTGGTGTGTGGCTTCTTCATGGAGGTGGTAGCTAAAGGGATGCTGTTCAGCTGCTTAGCTAGCTTTTGCTTCTCAGCTGTTATCAGCTTCTCACTGACTCAGTCTCCTTCCTTCTAATAAGTACACGTGTACGTCTCAGTGTGGGGACTGCTGTTATTGTCCTAGCACATCATGTATTAGCACGCAGCTGTGAGCAGTGAGATACTGATGAGTTTGCAGACTCATTTTTGCACATGGTTTATTTCACTTGTTTTTTAAATGAACACATTTCTGTGTTGCATCTTTACAAAACATCCTCAAAACTTGTCACTTTCTGGTTGAAAGGACTCTGCAGTACATTTAGAAATGAGTTCGATATTCCTGTTACTAACTCTTCTATCTATTTCTACACGTTCTCTGTGACAGTTCGCTGTCGTGACCTGAAAGAGATTTCCTTTGCTGTTGTCTAACACCAGCACAATCCCACACAAGTGGATTATAAATAGTCATTTACACGGTGCTGCGTCCCTCCATGCAGCTCTGTGGATGTTGTGTTGCATCCCTCATATCTATTGTCATGTGCGTGACAAAAGACACTGATTGGATTGATGTGAATGGAACCAAAAAGTCTATCATCCAGTAGACGGGGCTTATTTTGAGTGTCTGTCTCCTTTAATCTGTCTAATCCAATCATGCACAGACGAGTGGATTCCCCCTTTAAAATATGTCTGTTACTCTCAAACTGTGATGCTGTTACATGGGTCCTGTGAATGTGTGTGTGTGTGTGTGTGTGTGTGCGGACGAGGGAATCATCACTTATTGCGTGACATCCTGTTGCCTTTTGTCTGACTGAAGAGATAGAGGAGCGACGGTGGCGTCTGAGGTTTTATCTGCTGTGTCTTGTGACAGACGTCACTCATCTGATCTGCCCCCGCTCTGGCAGAGAGCCGCTCCCCACCTTTTCACTCAGGTGTCAGGAAGTATGCGCAACTCGTGTCACTAAAAGGTGTGTCGCACATACACGTCTGATAGTGTCGGCAACACATACCGAGAGGTGTAAACAGATGCACGTAGATATGGTTTGACCTGAATTTATTTACCACTTATTTATGCAACCGCACACATTTCTGTCATTTATCCACATATTTAAATTATTGCAGAATTGATGCAGTTCGAATGTAGTTATAATAATAAAATAATAATAATCTTTATTTATTTATTTCAAACACAGTTTTGCTTTAGGAGATAAAATAGGAACGAACAATAAAAAATAAATGATAAAATTTAAAAACAGTTTAGAAGTTTTCCCACATTGTGGAGGAGATATAAGAGTAGCTGTTTGATCTTTTTATTTTCCATATTTTCCTTTGTGTTTCAGAAGCTGGTGTATGGAGTCTCGAGAGTGCCACTTAAATAATTACAGACTTTTTTTCCATGTTTATTTGTAATCAGCAAATAAAAATAAAATAATTAAAACAGTTAAAGCTAATCAACAGATGTGTATTTATGATGCATTTATAATCCCGAATTAAAAATAAATATTTATGTAATGTAATTAATTCCCATTTCCTTACTGTGTTTAAAAGATGATTAAAAGAAATTAAAATAAAATCAGAAAATTCATTTGTGAGATGTGACGCAACTGTCAGACACATTCAGCAAGTAAAACATTTTCTTTAATAATATATATAAAAAAATTAGTAATAGTTTAATATTTTGCAATTTCTGACATTTGTGAGACTCCATATATTTCATCATAACGAGATAAAATCAGTAGGAAACACCTTTTCATTCATGTGATGTTACTCACATCTCCACACATACATGCATTCCTTCTCTAGGAATAAAATCTCTGGAACAATTTCTATGTTTTTTATTTTGTCCATAGTTTAATAATTTGCAATTTCTGCCACTTTTCAGACTCTATATATATCATCTTAATAATAAAGAAAATTCTATATTTTCTTTTTTATGCATTTCTTAAATTGTGAAATTAGTGGATCTTTCCAGCTTCATTTGAAAACGTTGAACCGTGGCGCTGTGAAGATAACCGGGGCCTTTCGTTTTAAAGGTTCTGCTTTACTCTAAAGAAATAGAAGAGCCGAGTTCAGACCGGCGGGGCGAAGTCTTTACCTGTTTGCTTTCACCGTCACCTGTTAAACCACAGCACCCCCTGCGTCTGAGCCTGAGCCTGTGACCTTCGCTCTCCTCCTCCTCCTCCTCCTCCATCCGTCTTCCTCTGTCTGCCGAGTATCATATCTGTGGCTCCTCTGTCTCCAGTGTCCTCTGTGTTTTCAGTTTCTTCTCTAACTGCTTCAGAGCAGAGAGAGACAGGAGGACAGAGCCTGGCCGAGGGATGGAGGTGATGCTTATCTGTGTGTGTGTGTGTGTGTGTGTGTGTGTGTGTGTGTGTGTGTGTGTGCGCGTGAGGAGGGTTCAGTGTTGTGTCCTGCCACTGCCATGGCGCCGCCTCTTATCACACACATCACCTTTGTCTCACCCTCTGAAGAACGAGCCTGTGTGTGGCAGAACTTACCAATATGAGTTTGAGAGGCTGATACCAACATTTTCTGGATCAGAGCTGCAGAAAATTAACACGCCGTTAAATCTGATCCGTCTCACGGGAAGACGAAGTATCTGCAGGCATCAAGATTCGATACACTGCCCACTCATAAACCTTTAGTCCGACCGCGATCTGACGCAGAGAGAGCTCCTCTTCTCTTAGAAAAAACAATGTGACTTAGTGAGCAGTGATCTGCTGGAACCTTCAGGCGCAGCCTCGTTTATGACAGGTGAACGCTGCTCACCTGAACGAGCCTCCGATGAGCAGATCAGATCCGCCGCAGTGTCACCTGAATGTTCACGTCAAATCAAAAGGATGTGACCCGACGTTTTCTGACCTGTCGTACGAAGTTAAATTGGTCGATGTCACCATTTTGCTTGAATGTGAAAACTGACCTGGAATCAGGCAGAATATTAAATATTTCTTCTTCATTTCACGACATGACAAAACCTCTTGTGTTTTTTAAATCTTTCTGAATCTGCAGACTTTCTGATTACTCTCAGGTTTATGGGAAAATATTAGAGATGTTTAATGTGGTCTCAGACTATTGAAACCCAGTGTGGATTTTTACATGTAATGAAGTTACACACAGGAACATCTGTCACCTCTGTCTGTAGACATATGGCCTGTTTGAAGTCTGTGAAAAGAGGATTATTTTAAACATCATTCTCATGTGATTAATATGTTGTTTAATGTGAAACAGCTCTTCACATGTGCAGGATTCACCTGGGGGACACGTGGTTTCTGCACGTTTTTGTTGTTGTTGTTGTTGTAATCAGACTAATCTATAGTCAGAGCCAAGAGAGTCTGATATAGTCACTTCATCTCCTTTTCCAATATGAATATATGTCCTGATATATGTTTTATCTTTGTTATATTTAAATATGTCATTTTACATATTATATTATATTATTTCTTTTGAGTATTTGATACCAACAGTTTGCAGTTTTTCTTTTCTGTGTACTCTCCACTTCGCAGCTGTAACTCTGCACATCTCCGCACTGTGGGACTAATAGAGTAATATCATATCTTACATGTATAATATCTGTATCGGATCACGTCTGGTCATATCATGACATGATTCCACCTGTAGGTGATATATGATAATAATGGAACTGATAATGATTAATGACTGAAATGAAATTTAAAGAGATTGGCAAGAAATCAGCTTCAGCTGCTGCAGTTAAAGTAAAATCTGAAAAGTTGCATCATGTCAGCGTCGGTTCCACACCTCGTGTCAGGTGTCAGCTCTGCCCTCGTGTGCTGCGCGGGGTTAGAGTCTACACATACAGAGACATGAAAGGCCGACTCATGTTTTGTAGCCGTCTCTATCAGAATAAAAGTGTTTCCTCCTGAGTCCTGAGGCCCAGTGAGGCCATCAAGCTGCAGCCCCCCCCTCACCCCCCCACAGTGACTCACTTACAGTCAGTCAGTCTCCCCAGTGTCTGCTCCCATCTTATCTCGGCCCATACACTCTGCTTATCTCTGCCCTCCCTGAGGTGATGGGACGCCGTCTGTGAGGGACACGCACACACGCACACACACACACACACACACACACACACAGAAAGCCACACTTGCTGTTGCTTACAGGCGTGCTCTCTTGACTCAGCATAATTGTCTGTATGAGGAGCCCAACACCAACGCTGCTGTCTCACTTTCCACCATCCGCAATATACAGGATCAATATGAAGCTGTTATCAATATCCCCTACCCGCCTCGCCGTGTGTGTGTGTTGATGTGTGTGTTGTGTGTGGAGGCAGCTTC